GAAACTTGACATGCTCTTGACAATGTACTATATTTGGTGTGGAAGCAAATGTAAATATGAAGAATTATATTTCGTCACTTCGTTCTTCAATAGGGTGTTTACCATGTACCCTCTGGTTATTAGGTAACATTCGCCCAAGTATTATAGTTTTTAAACGATTTTTAGCTCAAACCTAGCCCGCGATGGCGAATCTATATAACTCTGAGCATTGACTTACAATTATATGGACGTCGGGTCCGCGCTAAAAAGTGTCCGCACTTGTAAGGCGCTAAAATCGTATACAGAGCGCGACACTCCGCTTTAGTCTTCATTTGTTCTACGGACAGCGCGATACTGCGATGACATTACAATTTAAATTTCGAATAGGTTGACTTGGGACATTTTTTTCGTGGTTTTTGTATTAGACCCGTCGTCCATTTATTTATAAGTCAATGACTCTGAGGCAACATTTTACCTTTGCTCATTTTTCAGAGTTATACTAGATTCCAACAAAACTTTCTAATTACAGGCAGCAGTGTAAGGAAGTGATAACATCTTCGAATAGATTCATATGATACGATCGAACTTCACTTATGTACAGTTAAGAGCACATCAAGCTTGATGCTTTGTACTTTGGACCGTTCTTATGGTAAGCGGCACAGAGTTGGATTTAAATCTCAAGTATCAAGCTTGACGTGCTTTTGACAAAGATCACATTTTATCACAGATTATAAATATTTTACTTTACGACTTTCATAAAAAGTGTAAATTGACAATTTGGAAAAGTTTACGACACTATTACTATTATTAGGCTTTGTGTATGGTTAGGAGGAAATTTTGGATATTGAAGCATTCTTTGTGGCAAGCGACGTAAAGTTAAATTTTTTGCGTATTCTATCGTCTGTACCACCGGTGAGTGCTCTGAAGAGTTATTCAACCTTGTCCCTTCCTCTCCTTTCCATCAGCGGACCACCCGTGCCGGACTGCGTTGCCACAGTTGGACGGTCAGTTCAATACCGTCCCGCACTAAAAAGTTTGGCAATTCGTTTTTATGCCGAACCATCAAATTGTGGAACCAACTCCCGGCGCATGTATTCCCTCCCCTCTATAACATCGGGTCCTTCAAACGTAGTGTGAAGAAGCATTTGGCCAGACCGGCAAAATGATAGTGACGGAGTGAAGATATTTGTGTTTTCCATCCGTTACTCTCATCTCTGGACTGTATTCGCACTTTCCATCAGGCGCGGTGCAGTCATTTTGCCGAGTTACAATAAAAAAAAAAAAAAAAAAAAAAAAAAATTTAAATTTGTAAAAAACGTGGTCATTTTTAGAAGTCATTACACGTAGGCATGAAAAATTTTGTATTGAATTATTGATAACAAATAGTTCACAACATTAGCGTGTAATTTCTAGGCGACACGTTTGTGTTATACAAATTAAAAATTGTAGTATACGCCTTCAATGGTATAACATACTGTATACAATGACTATCGTATATAGTGATGGTGCATAAATAAAGAAATTATTTTAAACTATTCAGCCCTAAGTAGTTTCAAAGTAGTCAATGGCACTCCGAGTTTGACGTAAGCACTAAACGCGGAGTAGGCCTTGAATGCCAAATCACAATACCTACTCACTTTTGGCATCGAATTATTTGAAGGTTGGCTGCGCATGCGACGCTACGCGATAATGTCTGAATTAATTGTAATAACATATTTTTTTAGTAATTTGACGTTTATCCTTAGCGTAAGAATTGAACAACCACAAATATACCTAACGAAGAAAGAACCAACTACAACCTAGAAGAGAAGACAGCACCAAGTATGATTTATAAAAAAATGAGCAGAGGTAACTCAGTGAAGAAGCAAATGACATCGTGAGGTTTGATTAGGTTTACTTTTAGTAGCAGTAGAGATCCAAGCAGTAACGTACGTATTACTGCGTTTCGGCTTTGTAGGGTAAGGGTGCTGGTGAAATTACGAGCACATGGGATTTTTCAATTTATATCTCAAGGGGACGAGGGCAGTGGCAGTGACCCTCAGATCTTAAGCTATAAGTGGCACTGCAACTGTTATAGACAGGCGTGTCGCTTACCACCAGGCGCATGACGTGTTCGTCCCATCACTTGGTATGATAAGAAAAATGTAACATATCTCTAGAGAAGTGTGACAAGTCCCCAACCTGCATTATCTTCAGGAGACCTATGCCCAGAAAAGGTAACGAAAAATGGGTTAATGATGATGATGACATATGAAACCTGAACACTGAGATGAGCCAGTTCACCTCGTAAGGTATAAGTGACTGCTCACCGTCCGTATGTAATGTATGGGATACTGTTACATAAATGAAAATGGAATCTGGAACATCCAATAACATTGTTCAATGCACCTAAGTGCGAATTTGTAAACAAACAAAGGATTTGAACCGCAGAGATTGTCACTCAATTGTTTTGAATGGAAGTCTGTTTACAAACATTATTCAACATTGGAGAGTTTTTTTATTTGCCAACCACGTATCCGTTTCTTTTCACGTAATAGTTCCTTGCGTGTTGATTAGAAATTTTAGACGAAATTCACACCCATTTCCTGAAGTCATTATCAATACTAGTGTTTTTCACATTTGACATTATCATGATATAACAATAATAACGTCGCAGACAGTTACTTGTACCAGAGTAATGCTATTTAATAACAGCAGAGATCCTTGTGAAAAAGCTCGTCCAGGGAAGTAATACCACTTTACCTATTTCTGCCGCCAAGCAGTAATATGAACGTAGCGACCCTCAGATTTGCAATTGAAACCTCTGAGTGGCACTGCATCTGCACTGGTGTCGTAAAAAAATACTTCGGGGTACTATCCGGAACACACACCCCAAAGTTTTTTTTTAATTATATGTACTTGCTCCTGACAATGGTCAATAGGTAATGAACTAGCCTTGGTACCAAAAACAGGGTCTACAATGGCACGAGAAGATGCCTGTTCAGCGCACCCTAAATGTCAGGTTGTATGAGTTCGGAAACAAATAATTTCCAAATGGATCCTACTGGGAATCGAACCCGAAACCCCCTGTGCAAGCCTTCGGCTACCGAGGTCGTAAAAATCATATAAACTCGTCATAAATCCTAAAATTTACCTTTAAATTACATTTACAATGACATTACATTATAAATACGTTACCCTAAAATCCACCTGTAGGGTACTTGTTAGGTACGAATAGGTTTTACGTTTTTACGATAAGTGGAGCAGGACTGGCTCGACCACGCAATTTGAGCCTCTAACGCTGATTAGGCTCCGCATGAACAGGTAGGTATCAATCTCATGAACCCTGAAAGTAGATTATCTCGAATTCTAACTGACTAAGACGACTAGTTAAGTAGTCTCTAGAATGTGTTAAAATAACGATTGATTCGCCTTTCGACATTCGACAAAAAACTTTACGTCAAGTGCCATCTGCCACCAGCTGTGGCAGAAAGGACAACGCAGGCGGGACAGATAGGACTCAAGGCCATAATATTAAATTAGTTTCTATCTATCTAAGCAGGTCAGCTTAGTTTCTATTTAATAGTAGAAATAGTATTTCTGCCGCCAAGCAGTAATGCGAGCATTACTGCGTTCCAGTTTTGAAAGTTAAGGGTGCTGGTGAAATTACAGGCACATGGGACTTGTCAACTTATGTCTCAGGGTGACAAACGCACTGGCAGTGCCCCTAAGATCTTTGCGATTTAAAGCTCTAAGTGGCACTGCAACTGTTATGGATAGGCGTGTCGCTTACCACCAGGTGCGCAGACGCAGGACTTGTTCGTCCCGTCACTTGGTACTATAAAAAAAAGGTCCCATTCCTACTTTGTATAGTACAGTTAACACCAAACCAAGCTTGACATTTTGAGTCTTAGGGTCGTATTCCTGAACTCTACTCAATACTGAAGTCAGGATTTGAGTATTGCAGTGAGCACTGAAAATCATACTCAAGATCTTGCCATTAGGGTCGTATTTCCAGTGCTTGTATTTCTAGTGCAATCCTGACTTGAGCATTGAGTAGAGTTCTGGAATACGACCCTTAGATCGTTTTTATCACAAGGGGTATAGAGTTGGATTTAAATTTTAAGTGTGAACGCATCCTGTATGGAGGTAACTCAGCACTTACAGGTTAAATGTCAAAGACGTTTTACAAAATAAACTTAGGTATACAGGTATTAGGTATATATACTTAATAATAATAATAACGCTCACACTCAACATAGCCCCGCACTAGGGAAACCCTGTGTCGCGGGTGCCATGGACACACACATAGACAACCACAAATTACACCCAAACTCACGAGAGAAATAAATGTAGGCCATACAAATATTTCTCCCGGCCCGGGAATCGAACCTGGGACCTCTGCGTGGCAGTCCGGCATGGTAACCGTTCGGCCACGGAGGCAGTTAAAATAAATAAGTAATAGTACATTTTGAAATCAAAACAAGTTTCGTATGCAGAATTTATAAAGCACATGAATAATATAATTTAGTTGTAAATTATTCATCAATACCGAAAATGTAAATATTTAGAAATAAAACCAAATGAATAATTGTTTAAATTATGACTTGAGTGTATAGGGTCGATTTTTCTGAAATTTCGATTTACTTTAGACTTAGCTTTTTTTCGAGTTTTTAAAAGATTTAGTTCAAAAATACGAGATGACTGACATCCATGTTAGTAGACAGAGGCATGCATGAGATACCTTCCTGCATAAATTTTCTATCATAAGTACCCGAGTAACCATATTTCTATACCACAAATGTAAGCAACTATGGACCAGATTGCAACGTAGAGATGTAATTATATCAGTATGCGGTTAATCCACTGTTGCTAGACGAGTCAGTTTTGCTGTTAGAAATACGTGCAAAATTATTGCTCTTACTTATAAAATAATATACTGCTTATAAATCTATAGAACAGTAGCGTTAGACGTTTGAAACTGTGCTCTATATGAATGCAAACAACAACTATGCGTAATGAAAAGAAAGCACAATACTTACACTCTCATTTTCTCGTGGTCAGAATTACTAGCAGAAAAGTGCCATTGTGTCCAATCGGCTGTTGTAAATACGCCTTCACTGCCTCACAAAAAATTTGAAACTTCTTTCTGGCTACCACTTTCGAAATTCGAAAAGTTCGTGTAATAATCTGTAGTAATTGACACCTTCTATTTGCGCGCGAATTTTTTGCACTGCCAAGAAATAGAAAAATAATCGCTTTCGAAATTGAAACGCAAACGCGCGGTCAAGTCCAAAGCTCGGCGCAAACTCGTCGGCAGCGCGTGGCGCGCCGTTCGATCACTGTACAAGCATAACTATACTCGGGGCCCATTGTACCTCACGCCGTGGTTGCCAGACAAGCAAACCCCTCTCTTACAAACCTAAGCATACTTATAGCATGTTTATTTACGTTTTTGAACCGTGTTTTCCACCTATGAGCCGGCTGTTCGCTTGCCGTGTTCAATATAATCAGTCTAGACGAAAAATTAACACGTCAGGTACCCAATATATATACCTAAATTTTGCGCCAAAAGTTGTTTTAGCAAAGTTGTATAATGTCATGACCACTTTACTGCAATGCGCGTTGTAGTAGGTGTGCGTGGGTTAAAAATTTTCTATAAAATTAGTGCGACGTAGGAGGCTGTGGCACCAATTATGTAATGCATGATGCCTTATTTATCCAAATTCATTTGAAATACATAAATTTGCTAACACTGACGTTTTGTTATTACATCGTAAACATTACGAAACTTACGATGTGCAGTATGCATTTTTAATTCTTTAATTTCAAAAAAATAAAATGTCGAACGCCAAGGAATTAACCACGAAGGCGCCACTGACTAGGTATCTGATTCTTTTAATAACAAACGAAGCATAGATACGCTCTCGAACAATTACTCAAAATCCGCAAAAAAGAACTAGCCCAGGTTAAACAAACTACGGTGAGTTTAAAACAACAAAAGAGCCCGATCATCAATACAAAAGAGCCCCGTTACACAGTTTGCGATTTACATAATGCGTATAGAAATTTGGCGCAACTTTCTACATGCATTATGCAAAAAAATTCTACGCGACATTTGACAGTGACATTCACAATCCAGAATTAATAGAGATTCGTTCTAAATGTAATTAACAGGTGATAGTTACAAATAGAAACCTGTATTTGAAAGCGGCATCGATATGCCAACTATTCGACGTAGCTATCATTTGTTCATACCCACCTAGAAGGCACAAAAATGTATATTATGTACATAAATATTATGGCGTATATAGATATTTATACGCGTGGAGAATCAGCGTTATGAAACGAAGGGTCGTTAAATCCATTTAATGGGAAGCCAGTGATGTTCAATGTTTATGGAATCGTATATTTGCTCTACTTAGGTTATTTAACATTTTATTTATCATATGAAGATAGTAATTGATTTAGTAGCAATATACCTCCTTGTCAAAGAGTCCATCTTGGGTATTACTGCCACATTACCTATTTCTACCGCCAAGCAGTACTGTCAGCATTACTGTGTTCCGGTTTTTAAGAACTTGTCAACTTGTGTCTCCGGGTGACGGGCGCGGTGACACATTACCGCTAAAAATCGGCAACACAAATGGACCTTACCGTTATTGATGTGTAGTTCTTTTTTTCCAATAAATTTCACTAAGGATGTATTCCTTTCAGTTGTGTTAAACAATAATGTTAAGATTAAAATAGTATCAACGTGTTGGAACACTACAATTAAAAATATAATTTTAAAAAGGAAAATTGTAAATGGATTGTTTTTCAGATATAAATGTGTGCATTTGTAATAAGCCCGAAACGTTGGTTTTTTTTTAAAAACGCATATATATCGATCGAAATAGCATAGCATAGTAAACATAAGTGATAAATAACATCATGTTTCTTTTAAAAGAAAACTATTATTATAAATTTCAAAAAATATGCAATATAACATAAAGAGTCAATCTACTACCTCAGTTCGAATTCAACTTTTTCCCGTACTAATACGGTTCATTTTGCATGGGTCGAGTGGCAGGGACACTGGCTTTATTTAAGAATTTATTTTTTTACAAACGAACATAAAGCTATTTCAAAAATGTATATCGTATGGTATACGTGTTCTATTCAGTTCAAATGATATAAAAAAAATCATTGATATATGTAAAATACCAATTGAATAAATCGGTGTTCTTGTAAAATTTTGAGGTAAGTTTGTGTTTTTTTAACCGTATACTAATCAATGGATTCAGGTTTTTGTTTTTTATCAAAAATAAGTGCGCATTTGACCTCCATCTCACCTCATGGAAAGTGATGATGAGGTCGACGATATAGCATGCAGACCTAAATAATGCCTATTCACTCTCGCCTTGAAAAGGTCCAAGTTATAGCGGGAATACGTCCGTAGGCAGGGAATTCCACTTTTACCATATAAATGTGGCAGCGAAACGCTTCGTTCGAGTCCTGGGAATATTATCAACATAGGGGTGGAATCCCAGCCCACGTCTAGTCAAATTAATTATGTACGTGTAGGCAAATTATGCAATATCATATAAGAAGGCCACTTTACGGTGGTGTTCAAGGCTCTGCAAGGTTGAATATACTCTTAACGGCTTTTGTAGCGACATGTATACATATAAGAGAGTGGAAAAGTATAATTATTATTCAAAATATGTCTTCCTTATTACAATAAAGTTAACTGCAATTTAGTAAACCATTGGTCCACAAACAGTTTATAATTTGAACTTTGAGCAGCCTCCCCTGCATTGCTGTTAGTTGCACCCGCATGCAGGGGTGTCGTGAGGCGTAAGGGAGGGATGCACCGCCTGTATAACCACCTCGGGAGAATAGGGAGGCAGAGTGACTACAAGAGTTACCACACTCAATAACGCAGAATCGCCTTGCCGGTTTGAAAAACCTTGTATCCAAGACCTTTTGACTTCGCTTTGACGCTCAGAGCCTCTTTGACAAGCCGGTCAATCACAATAAGAATTAGAATATTAGAGCGAACACTGGAAGGATATCATCTTACATTTCGCTTTGCATTTTTCCGCTACAATGTTCTAACATACTTCACAAGATATGACGTACTAAGATTTATTTACTAGAGAAACTCTAAGGTCAGTAAGATAGTAGTCGCGTGATCATTGTCATTAATTTAAATTGAAGTTACTTACGACAATTGTCGTAAAGGCGGGAATTATTTAGGTATAACTTACCTACCTTCAAGTACATACAGACACTGAATTGTTCAAAAGCTAAAGATGTCATGTTTTAAATTACTTTTAGGTAATTTCCAATAGATGCACTGCCTCTGCACCCGGCACCCTGAGACATAAGTTGACAAGTTCCATGTGCCTGTAATTTCACCTTCCAAACCGAAACGCAGATCATCTTACTGCTTGGCGGCAGAAATAAGGAAGGTGGTAATACTTCCCTGGACGAACTCTTTCTCAAGGAGCTCTACTGCTACTAATAAATTACATATATGTTTAGTAGCAGTCCCGCTAACCTGATAAAATCACGTGTACAAGACGGTTCACGACCCGAAAACAACCAAAATTTTTAGGAGACCCGTACCTAACAGTAAGACGTGCCTATGATGTGTTAATGACGATGATCCTTTACTATAATAACAAACCAAAATTATAGTTTCCCCGTACGAAGCAAAGTTAATCCATATTGTACGTCCGTGTGAGAGTTCTTATTTGTACCAGGGTTGCATAATAACGTGCAGCTCTTGCAACGGATCGATAGGGATACGGGGGCACATCTCTGCGAAGGGGCGAATGGTTTCCTCGTGTTTTGAATGGGTACGATGAATATTGGGGTGAAAGGCGGAATATTTATTACAGAAACTATACTTACTCTATACCATAACATTACCAACATATAGGTTGTAAGGTTTGCCACTTTTGTTACACACACGCAACTTTTGTTACCTATGGTTTATTGTTATCGTGCAATGTACTCGTGGTAAAAATAGTGGATTGAAGTACTGCTTACATTGTTATGTTTTGAGAACGCACCTGATGAAAAAATTGAATTGGCGAAAGAGATATATGGAGCCAATGTAGAAGGCAATATTAGAAGATAACGGCCACGAATTTCTTTAATTCAAATTAAAAAATATTTATTTTCACACAACAGGATCATAAAACAAGAGGATAAAACTTATAAAGTATTGACAGAAGGAAATTACTGAACACATTACTAAAGATCTTAAATGTCATGTACTTACGGGGCATCTCGTGCGGAATCATTGTCCTTACGAGAAGCCTCCGCCGTACAGGCACTCTGTGGTCATCTGCCACAACCTTCAGGATGCTGTTGTTACTCCCCCGGAGCCTTCTAACCAATGATGCGTGACTAACGATTTTAAGATACCTACGCGCCTGTAATTTAAATCATTTATTTCTACACACAAAAAATACATAACAAGATTGTCTACAGAATATATAAAAAAGAACTAAATTATTCGCTTGTCAACTTAAGCCACCCTGAGACATAAGTTGACAAGTCTCATGTGCCTTAATTTCACTTATAAACCGGAATGCAGTAATGTTCTTATTGCAACTTGGCGGCAGAAATAGGTAAGGTGGCAGTACTTTATAAAATCAAATCTGGGATATTATTAAAGAGGCTGGAGTGCGCAGTGACAACAATTAGAGGAGTTGTATGAAAAGATTGACTCTTGTAATTGAATAGTTGATGAATAGTTTATGCCTATCCCTAACTATCTAAGGCTGGTTTGTTATAAGTTGTAAGTACATACCTACTCGTAACTATGGAGTTGGTCAAAGTTTTTCTTCTTCTTCTTCTTTCAAAGTTTAACCTTACAATTGTTACTCTCATATGAATATAGTTGAAGGACGTTAAACGCGCTCGTTTTACATCTAGTGTCAATTCAATATAAGGGTGTCCGTGGATAAAATTTAGGGGATGACGTGAAGAAAATAACAAAATGTAGCAAGTTCCTTTTATAGTAACTAACTGGAAGTCACGGTGGCGGATACCGCGTCAATATTTTGTACTCCGTGTAATGTTGCTTAATTTAAAAGGACACACGTTTAAACACCATGAACTAATAATGGGACAGGATCAGTGAAATCGAAATCAATGTGAGGATATCGAATCGACTGACCATAATGAAAATTGTGCTATAAATAATTATTAATACAAAAATTTAACACTTAGAAAAATTCTTTGATCCGGCTGGATTCGAACCAGCGCCTTCAGTACACCGTGCCTGATGCTCTCCCAACTGAGCTACGGAAGGAATCTGCTAGTT